ATTTAAATCAGGTACCGATGTATGTTGAACAAGAATTGAACACCTAGAATAGGCTAGATTCACATTTCGTTCTAACATGAAACTGCTCAGTAGTGCATATCTGAAATCCTGTATTGAGAAATGTAACGCAGGACTAGTTGGCTGTTGTGGGAATGCCTATCTGCTAAGGTGTACAAAGTTCCAAAGTATCCAACCAAATCACATTTGATGAAGATGCCTTGGAGGACGCAAAAAATTTCACTTATCTAGGCAGCATGATTGACGGGCAAGGTGGATCTGATGTAGATGTGAAGGGGAGGATCGAGAAATCAAGGACAGCATTTCTACAATTGAGCAACATATGGAACTGAAAAGAACTGTCTTCCAACCAACACGGAAATCAGAATTTTCAATGCAGATGTCAACACGGTTCTACTGTATTGGAATCTGATTAGATCTGATGCATACGTGAAGGCGCGGATCGGTTAAGCAAGAACAGCAATTTTTAAGTTTAGGAAAATCTGCGCCACCAAACAACTCTCAATCAACACCAAAGTCAAAAATTTCACTACAAATGTCATGAAAGTTCGACTGTGTACAGTGAAAACTTGGAGAACTATCAAAGCCATCATTCAGAAGAAACATGTGTTTAATAACAGTTGTCTACACAAAATACATCGGATCCGTCGGCCAGACATCATAAGCAACAATCAATTGTAGCAGAAAACAAACCAGATTCCAGTGGAGGGAGAAATAAGGAAGAAGCGCTGGAAGTGGATAGCACACATATTGAGGAAAGCACACGAATGTGTCACAACACGAGCTCTCCCTTAGAACCTTCAAAGTCGAAGGAAAACAGGCACGTCACGGAATACATTAGGACGACAAACGGAGACTAATGATATGAGTAGAATGAACTGAAATCGGACATTTTCAATTGATTCATGATACCTCATATTATCTGTCGGAGGTTTACATGACATAATATAACAAAGAGTAGCTATTCAACTTACATTAAATTCAGTAAAGCACTGTCAAAAAAAAAATTGTTTTCATAATGAACACAATGTATTTGCTGAAATTTATTCTCTGACATATAAATCATATTTGAAACCACGATCAATATAAATATTGGTCAGTTTCATTTATCAGAAAAGTTATGATTTTGTAATTGCCTAACATATTGAACTAAAATTGTACTGTTTATACATTTAGTTAGGAATTGATTCACGAAAGTAAGGTATGTGTTTCATTAGAATATCCAAGTTCACGATTAAACTTACCAGACCCCATCGAAAAAAGCACTGATATGCAATGGAAAAAACCGCATAATTAGGATGGAATATATAGTCGATAAATTTTGCATACTAAAACTCATATTATGCAACAACGAAAAACAGAGAAATAAGTGTGTAGTGCACATTAAGGAACTCTTGAATAGAGCAGTCCCACTGAACTAACCCAGTATGGAACTAGCATCCATGGACCTCCCAATCAGTGCTGCCTCAACAACGATTGAAGAGATTAGTACAGGAATCAGACAAATCAGAGCGGCAACGTAACGTGAACAGACCGCATTTCAGAAGAGGCAATGAAAGCAGACATAATAATAACTGCAATGTTGTTGCACACTCCGTCCAGCAAGAT